ACACACACACACACACACACACACACACACACACACACACACACACATACATACACCCACACACGCGCGCGCACCCACAAGTATGCACGAACACACGCACACACACACACACGCAGACACGTACGCACACACGCACGCACACAACCCACCGGGCGACAGTTCGATCTCGCAACTGAACATTACTGGTGAGGCACACACACGCGAATATCCGCGTACGTATGCTAGTCAACAGCTATCAATTACTCACCCCGCCTGCGCGTAGCCGTACTGCCCGTATGGAAACTGGCTAGCCATGGGCATGACGCCCGCCTGCATCTGTGGGTAGTGCGCTGCCGGACTATATCCCCAGTATCCCATCGATGAACCCATCTGCTGGTAGCTGTAACCCGCCGCGTATGGTGCTCCCAAGCTCTGTAAAGAAGCCACAAAAACTTACACCGGTAACATCATTGTATAACTAACGGCGAAACACGCTCACGTAGTTTTCAGTAATAAAGTTATGCTAAGTTAAGACAAATTATATTTAATACCAAAGCTTTAAAGCCTGTATTACGAGATTTTTGCTCAGAAACACTCAATCCGAGTATAGTCTCATCTGACAGTGGAAATATCACTGATTACACCAACATTCAAAACACCAAGATTTTATGCAGTTATAGCAGAGAAAAATAGATTTGACCACATCATACCAGCTTCGGATATTATGGTGTGCGGAGAATCCAAAATACAAATGGCGCCTTCAAACCAATAGCATATAATAAAAACAAACGGGCGTGCAATTCTGGTAAATATTATTGACCAGATCTACTCTCTAACCTAATAATCTCTGTATCGCCTAATAATTAGCGAGTTTTGTGCACTTAGTACGTCTTTCGTGATTTTGTGCACAGTGGCGTGCGCATGGCAAGGTTGTGTAAATGTATAGTAGAAGCGTGTTTAAACGGCGCTTACGCAGAATTATTAGGTAATATAGAGAATACATAAACATTAAAGCCTTAGTAGTAACTATAATTCGCGCTTATTTACCATAATTTTAATATTGCCCAAGTGCCTGTAACTATTGCTATATGGGAAGAGTTTTGATATTTATCGTAGGAAACTGTACTTTCCACAGACAGACATCTAATGCTTTGGCAGGGAATACACGAACAGCGTTACATTTGCACGAGACTTATATATAACACACGAGAGTAAACGCCAAACTAAAATCATTTACACATAGTACATATCTGGACAGAATTCGACTCCAATTCGAGACAGCCATGACGAAAACAGTACAGTAAAAACCCGCGTATAAGAACATAGATTTTAAGAACCTGTTAGGCTAAAATTTCCCATTTAGACCCCTTTACATAAGAACCTGTTTTAGGCTAAGATTTTAAAGTAGGTTCTTAATTTCCCATGCAGATGAAGACTTAAAAAGAAACACAGGTAAAATAAAAAAGACGAGCCCAATAATACCGATGAATGTGCCAGCACCTTTTTTTGGCATGCATCTTTTTGCATATTGTTTTGTTTCCTTGGATACATACTGTATCATACAGTATGGTAAGCACTGAAAAACTTACACTGTAGCCCATCATGGGTATTAATTAGCAAAAATTGCAGTCCTTGTAAGAAAATTTTAACACAATTTGAATCAAGTATAAGCGTATACATATTAAAAGTAGAAACAATTAAGAACCTATTTAAGAACCTTTTGAGCCTCATTTTTCAGTAAGCACCATTTATATAAGAACATAATAATTGAGGCTAACTTGGAAAAATCTATGTTCTTATACGCGGGTTTTTACTGTATTACATGTGTAGGAATACCCTAGAATTCGAGCGCAATACAAAGAAATACATGTAGACGGTCAACAATATTGATCAGGCTACATGATTTCAATATTGATTGTGCACGAGTATACGATTGCACGTATTTACATATATGCATCTGCATATGGCAGCCATGATAGGCTTTATAAGATACACTTTAGGGGGCATACAACACTAACTTTCCGCAAATTGTTCACCATTTCGTCTCTGGAAAAGGCCTTCTTTTAAAAAATGTTCAGTAAAATTCTGAACTAGAGTGTACTAATTTGCATTATGCAGAAAGATTTGTCTTGTCGTGTAATTGTGTCATTCCGGCAAGTGCCGTAGCCATGGTGACCGGGCAGTCATTTTTGCGTTTGAAACGGGATCCGACTACTTTGTAGAAATGCGCATCATATAGCTGGCAAAAGTTTCGAGAGGAGTATAGAGCTTGAATCTGTGGTTATTTAACATAAATGAATATGTTGTGTATGCGACAAAACACTGAATATTTTTAATTAATTTCTGTTTGATGCTTATTCAGGCCTGCTGCATATGGACGCCTTCTACTGTTATACAACACCTTTAGGCGTACGTGAAACAAACGACAGCGTAATGTACGCGTGTGTGTGTGTGTGTGTGTGTGTGTGTGTGCGTGCGTGCGTGCGTGCGAGCGTGCGTGTGTGTGTGTGTGTGTACGTGGTGCGTGCGTGCGTGCGTGTGTGTGTGCGTACGAGGGTGCTTACAGCTGGTGACTGGCTGGCGTTGAGCGGGTCACTGGATTCCTTGCCCCATGAGCATTTCACGATCTGACCATTCACCTCCGTGTTGTGAACGGACACTATTGCGTGCGTCGCCGATTCTTTACTTCCGAACCTGGAGAAAAAAAAACACGACCAGTTTGAAGATCCGACGAGGTGGAATTCGTCTCGCCCGCTCTTACGGCGACCACACGGCACCGATGTCACGGCGTGTTACTGCGGCTGACGTCTTCGCGTGGCAGAGCCTTGCCATCATGGCCACCGCCACCGTCGCTGCTTTCACTGATTGTTCAACAAAAGACCGGCAAATTCAATATGGCTCACAAAGCAAATGCAGTTTTAATTCATTCGTAGCTCGGCCTCCTTTACGTGTATATATATATATGTGTGTGTGTGTGTGTGTGTACATATAGCAGGAGATGTATCATTGACACTACAGACTGGGGCGGCCGCGGGAGAGGGGACAATGTGAGAACGGAGCGTAGTTGTTCTTACCAGCACGTCCGTTCACGCACCACACGTATGCTAGCTAGTGTTGAAACACTCACCTAACGAAAGCATAACCTTTGTCTTTGAAAACTCGAATTTCTTGAATCTGTCCAAATGCTCCGAACGTTTTCTGCATTAGCTCCTCTACAAGAAACCAGTAATGTGTAAGAGAACCGATTATTACACTGTCAGGGCGTCAAGTGACAAGTGACGCTCAAAAAATAGGAAAATAGGAATTTCAATGTGAAAAATAGGAGGAAATAGGAATTTGGTGAGAAAATATATGTTAAATAGGAATATTGTTGCGTTAGATGGCCTCCTAACACCCCTAAAGCCATCCCGATCCACCACAAATGGTTTTATTAAATACATATTTGGAGTTACATCACATGCGAACAATATTTTGAGGTTTTAATGAGAGAATGCATGTTAAAATTGATAAGCAGTTTATACATGCATAAGCACCCATACATGTAGACTACTCCAAAATAGTATGACGTACATGTATGTATACATGGGCGGATCCGGCTTTTTGAAAAAAGGGGGGGTCCATGCAGTAAGAAATAAAGGGCACTTTCATAAAAAAGGTGCAGAAGGCAGCTTATGCGCTGTGTCTAAGGCATGTTGCCACTTAGGGGTGAGGGGGGTGTTAGGGGGACCTCCCCCAAGAAAAATTTCAAAAATTGGTGCATTCTGAGAGCATCTGAGCAGTAATTTTGATGTCTAGAATGCAAGATGGAATTCCACATTTTTAAGCAGAAAATATCTTTTATGTGTTTTCCCTTTTTGGGTAAAAAAGGGGGTCCGACCCCCTGGACCCCCCTCTGGATACACATACCACATACAACAGAGAAACAACTTTACTGAAATAATATCATGTGATAGTAAAGAGTATATAATATTATGTTAATTTAAAGTAAGGGGTGGGGGTCTGGGGGTCCTCCCCCAGGAAATTTTTGAAAATTGGGTCACCTGAAATGTAAATTCCTGCATTCTGAGAAAGATACATACAATTCTGGATTCAGAAAAATGAAAAGCCCTCAAAAATAGGAAAAAATAGGAATTTGTCCAGAAAATTGGAAAAAAAAGGAATTGCCCAGAAAATAGGAAAAAATAGGGAAAAATAGGAACTTGACGCCCTGCACTGTGTAAAAACATATATGAGCCCCTCCCAGAGGTTTTAGGAAACAAGGAAACACGAGCATTAACTTTCAGGGAACAGGGGATATTGTCGAATTATATTTAGGGAACAAGGGAACTGCTGATTAGATTTTTGGGAACAAGGGAACTCTGATTTTCCATCTTTGTGATTTTTTTCACAGTTTTCTAAGACTGTTTACAATAAACTTTGAAGTATTTCAGGGTCATTTCAACATAGTGTGCTGTAGGGACCATTAGGGTCCACAATTATAGGTCATTTCCGCTCCAGCATCACGAGACAATTATGGCGAACAGTGTGGTAAATATTTTTGGGGATTAAGGGAACTGGAAAATAATTTTCGGGATCGTGGGAACACAATGTAAAAACATTTTAGGGAACAAGTTATTTTATTAATTGGGAACACGGGAGAAAATGCTTAAATATTGAGGAATTAAGGAAACATGTACCCCCACTGGGAGGGGCTCATATATACTATTGAGTAATTCTGCAACGACACTGCGTCACTCCCAACTATATAGTGGTAGCCTGAACAGATCAACTACAAATCTTTACCACCATGATGCCTTTTACGACACTTTATACTATTTCACAGTTGCCACGACAAGCCGTTGTCTCACTTGTGTACGTACCAGACAATCCTTGTGTGATGCCCCCACAGTAGACGGTACAATTTGTTGGACTGGACTGGTTAAAGACTTCGTCGTATGACAGCTGCTTCAACTGGCCTTCTTTGTGCGGTGCCGGAGGCTTGCGTGTCGCCCAGTTGGTGCGTATCGCCCGCGCTCCCAGCCACTGACCGTTCATACTAGCTATTGCATTTTCTGCGTCCTGCGGATGAGAGGAAAGATCGCAAGCGGGTAATGAGTAACTTGTAATTGCTGTACACGAACATACGCGAGTATCGCAGAGCACAGACGTACACACACACGGAGGCACGCGCACACGCAGGCACGCACGCACGCTCACGCGCATGCACGCACGCACGCACGCACGCACACAGGCACGCACGCACGCAGGCATGCATGCACGCACTCACAGCATGGCTCCCGCATCGCGTCATTATGCTAATCGATGTGATTATATAAACGTGAAGCGGGACAGCGTTTTAACGAATGACATGTCTGCATTGTCACTGATACCGCGCGCGCGCACGCCGAGACAAGAGCAGCAGCAGCAGCAGCAGCAGCAGCAGCAGCAGCAGCAGCAGCAGCAGCAGCAGCAGAAGCAGCAGCAGCAGCAGCAGCAGCAGTGCAATTACTCATCTAGCGACACAATGCCACGCAGCACGTTACTGCACGCCTGCTAGCGTTATGCCAAGCAGTACACAATTACATGTACACGCGTGAGTGTGCGCGCGTGCGTTTATACGTACGCGTGCATGTACATGTCTGTGTATGCGTGCGTCGAGTGTGCGTGTGACTGTGCGTACGTGCGCGTCCGTGCATGTCTGTGTATGTGTGCGTACCTGATTGCGCGCGTTTGTGCAAGTGAGTGCGTGAGTGCGTTTGTGCGAGTGTGTGCGTGCTTGCGTGTACGGGTTACGGTCTGGCTATTTACACGCGCTATAACCCCCCAGCCGGGCGTTCAAACACCCCGCTGTGAACCACGCGGTCGGCATGCAAGCGTTGCCTTCACACTAGCGACAGAACTCTCGCACGATGCTGGCAGACGAGCAGAGCGAACACGCTTACAACTACCGCGCCACGCCGACAGTCACTAGTGCTCGCCGCTCGCAGGACACGCCATCATCGGTTCATGTTAAGCTGGGTTTACACTACCGACTTTATGTTGGCGAATTGGCGAGTTGGACCAATTTCGCAATTCGACAACTCCGAGTTGGCGAAAATAGAAGATGTTCTAATCTCCCAACTAGTTGCCATCGATCGGTTGGTCGCGCAACTTTTGCGTTTACACTGCCGATTGTCGGTTGCATAGTTGGGAAGTTGGTCCAATTAGCCAATTCGCCAACGCAAGGTCGGTAGTGTAAACCCAGCTTTACTTATTCGTCCCAGCAAAGCATTTCTGTAGATCGTTTTCGAGACGTGCGCACGTCTGAGCAATCGCGCGCTATCTTCTTCTCTTTCTTTTCTCTCTCTCTCTCTTCCTCGCGCGCACGCGCGCTCTCTCTCTCGTTCACTCTCTTCTCTCTTTCTCCCTCGCGCGCGCACGCGCTCTCTCTCTCTCTCTCTCTCTCTCTCTCTCTCTCTCTCTCTCTCTCTGACAATCTTTCTCGCATAGCTGAAACTCTCTCTATAGGTGGGAAATTTAATAAATCTAAATGTTTGTGTTGATTTTGCGGCAATTTTCCTCAACGCTCGCGCGACAGCATACATAATAAATGCGACGCCTCCGCCGTTAGCGTTGAATCCCTAAAGTAATATACGACACGTTTTATGAAATTCGCTGACAGCGGCGGAGACAGCGCCTGTAAGCTTACTCTATCCGGCACGGAACTACCCCGTTCCTCATCTCTTGTTCGTACTCATAGGCGACGTGATCCTAGCCACGCCCGATACGGCACGACTCAGAACAGGAAAAGGCAGCCCCCCGCCCGCGTTCATTCTTGAACGGTATGTTCAGTTACGACACGATCTACGGGTGAGTTGCCTAACATGTGCCTAGCATGTGCCTAACATGTGCCTAACATATACCTAACATGTACCTAACATGTAGGCCTACCTAACATGTAGGCCTACCTAACATGTGCCTAACATGTGCCTAGCATGTGCCTAACATGTGCCTAACATGTACCTAACATGTACCTAACATGTAGGCCTACCTAACATGTAGGCCTACCTAACATGTACCTAACATGTGCCTAACATGTACCTAACATGTGCCTAACATGTACCTAACATGTACCTAACATGTAGGCCTACCTAACATGTAGGCCTACCTAACATGTGCCTAACATGTGCCTAACATGTGCCTAACATGTGCCTAACATGTACCTAACATGTACCTAACACGTAGGCCTACCTAACATGTAGGCCTACCTAACATGTGCCTAACATGTG